AAGCAAACCTAATGAAAAACATGGGTTGTACTGGAAACCATGGATGCAACTCAGACTCAAATATATGTTTTTTCTCAGCACCATATGCCCTGGTCTTCCGGTAAAGAAATTTAGATGTCTGAAGAAGTTATTACAGGGCACTTCACTTCTCAGTCCTTCCGTTTCCTTTCCTGTATAGCTGGGGTGACAAGATCGCCCTCCTTATGGGGTTGCTTACACGAAATAACACACGTAAAGCGAGTGGCAGGTGCTTGGCATGTTTTAAGTGCTCAATAAATATTAGCTACTATGATTTTTTTCAGTCTCATAGGGAATGATTTAAGATGCCAGTCAGGGTTCGGTCGGGGAAGCCGACACCCACCGTGTTGTGGAATAGGGAATTTATTATAGGCAACAGGCCCCGCGCAGCTGTGGAAGGAGGCGGGGACGTCCAATCTGGAAGGAGATTTGGAGAAACAGAGAAGTCTCTGGCCCAATTCTGGAGAATTCTAGCAAATGTTTAAAGAATCATCACTGATTCTACGCAGCTTCATCCAGGAGGAAGAAAAAGAGGGAACAGTTTCCAGTTTATCTTATGAAGCCAATATTGCCCTGATACCAAGACCAGACTCAGCACCAAAAAGGGAAACCACAGATCAACATTCCCCATGAACATAGCAGCAAGAAATTTAAACAAAATGTTCACAAATACGATTCAGCAAGATATAGAAAGAATTATATCCTACAACCAAGCAGCATTAATATTCCAGGAATGCAAGGTTGGTTAAATATTCAGAAATCAAACAATATAATCCACCCTATTAATGGGCTGGTAGAAGAATCCCATGAGAAAGAGAAAACGGTGACAGAATTCAATACCCATTCATGATAAAACTGAACACAAGCTTAAACATGCAAAAATCAATTGTGTTTCTGTATACTAGCAATAAATACATGAAAATCACAATTAAAATATACTTGCATTTATAATCCCAGCAAGATTTTTTTTTTTTTTGTAAATATAGGTTAGATTATTTTAAAAGTTATGTGGAAATTTAGCTATTCTAATTCCTCTGAAACTGTTCAGAAAGAGAAGAGTAACATGGGAGGAAACCAATTTGCCCAACCTAAAGACTTCTCATACGGCTACAGTAATCAGTGCTGTGTGGTATCGTCACACAGATCAACGGAGAGTAGAGATCCCAGAAATAGACCCCCACAAAATACATCCAGACTATTTCTGACAAAGATATAAAAGCAATTCCATGGAGGAAAGATAGCCTTTCAGCAAATGTTGCTGGTACAATTGGACATCCATGGACAAACAAAAATGTACTTCAACCTAAGTTCACACCGTTTACAAAAATTAACTCAAAGTAGATCGCAGAGTTAAATATAAATCATAAAACCACAAAACTTTCAGGGGGAAAAAATAGCAAAATTTCAGAATCTAGGGCTATGCACAGATTTCATAAGCCCAATCCATACAGGGAATACTTGATAAATGGGTTCAACAAAATTAAAAATGTTTGCTCTGTGGAAGTTCTTTTTAGGAGAACTATAGGACAAGTTACGGACCAGGAGAAAATTTTTTTCGAAGCACATGTCCAACAAAGCACTAAGTTTCTAGACAGTAGAAGAACTCCTAGAACTCAGTAAGAAGATCAAGCAATTCAAGTAGAAAATAGGCAAATGACATGAAGAGACATTTACCATAGATGATACACAGATGACAAGCAAGTACAAGGAAGGATGTTGGATATCATTAGCGATTTGGGAAGTACGAGTTAAAACCACAATGAGATATCATCACACACCTATTAGATTAGGTAAAATAAAAAATAGTGACAACAGCAAATGTTGGCAAGGATGGAGAGAGATCGAATCACTCATACATTGCTGGTAGGAGTGTAAAATGATACAACTGCTCTAGAAAAGGCTTTGGGAGTGTCTTAAAAAATCAGAACTAAACATGTGGCTGTATAGCCCAGCAGTTGTGCCCCTGGGCATGTCTACCAGAGAAATGAAAACTTACATCATTCAAAAAAAAAAAACACCTATGCATGAGTATCTATAACAACTTCATTTGTTACAGCAAAAAACTGGAAACAGCCCAGATGTCCTTCAGTGGGCGAGTGGTTAAACAGCTGTGGTACATCCCTACCACGAAGTTTCTACCCAGCAATAACAAAGAACAAACCCTTGGCACAAGCAACCACCTGAACTAATCGCCAGAGAACTACGCTGAGTGAAAAAAGCCAGTCCCGAAAGGTTACATACCTCATGGTTTCATTTGCATAACATTCTTGAATTCACAAAATTATCGAAAAAGAGAACAGATTTGTGGTTGCCAAGGATCAAGTAGAGAGTGGGGATGGGAGGAAAGTAGGCGTGGCCATAAAAAGGGCAACAGGAAAGGTCCCTGTGGCGATGGAGCGGCTGTGTATCCTGACCATCTCATTGTCAGTGTCCTGGTTGTAACATTGTGCCTGTCCTTTGAGATGATGGTACCATTGGAGGAAACTAGGGCACGTGGGTTCCCTCTGTATTTTTTTCATTTGCATGTGAATTGACGATTGTCTAAAAAAAAAAAAAGTTTAAAAAAGAGACAGGAGCTCAATGTATATTCAGTGACTCCACAATCTTTTCCACATTTAAAATGAAATTAACTTTTTGTGGGTTTTTTTTTTTCTGGTCTTGTTTGGAGAAATTAACTTGGTGTATGTCAAGTGTGTGTATTCTTCCATTTCTCCTAGCTTACTGGTACCCACCAGCAGGTAAATAAGCGATAGAAAGAGTGGAAACATTGCCAAAGCCGCCGGATGAGTTTGTTTGATTAGCTGCAGTAATTAGGCAGATGAGCCTCCTAAGCCAGTCAGTCAGAGCAGTGTAGACCAGGTATTGACTCTCCCCGTCAGTGTAGGCAGGTTTCCGTTGCTGCTAATATAAAGCCTTATTGACATGTTTCAGTTATGTTGGTTCCTTAGTTGTTTAAAGCAGGGAAAAGAGACCTCACAGAGCCGATGATCGGAAATCACTTAAAGAGTTTTCATGAAGAGGGGGGAAAGCACCATGCAAAAGCATGTGAAAATGAGAGAAAGACGGGGTGAGGAGCAGCGGGAGGTGACCTAAGGACAGAGCCAAGAGTCCGAGGAGAAGCTCGAAGCTCAGGTGAAAGGACTCTCCTCGGATTTCTTAGACGGCAGGTAGCTGGAAAGCGTGTCTCCAAAAGGAAACGAGAGGGGCTGGGAAGTGTGTGTCTAAAAGGAAACGAGAGGGAGGAGGAATGACGAGGAACGAAAGGGGGTCAGAAGGAGGAAGGGGGAGCGATTGCTTTAGGCACAGATTCTAAAGAGGGGTCAGAAAAACGAACATCCACCGAGACCACCAGACTAGGTCCCGGGGGTTGCGACGACACAGACCGAAGTGGTTCAGGCCCTTTTCTGTGAAGCCAACCCATAGAAAGTGGCAGGAAAAAAACCCTTTTAAACAGCTGAGGTTCAGAGCCCCCTTCCTTAGCCGTGTCACAGCCTCCCCAGGGGGAGCCGGGGTGGAAGGGAACTGCAGCCCCGCTGACTCATCTCCCCTGAGCGAGGCCCTGCGCCCAGAACTTCCCGAGCTTCATCTCCGTTAGGTGCCCTCGCCGGGAAGCAGGCACCACACTCGCGTCTTACATGTGACTGAACGGGGTTTGGAGAGGTTAAGTAGCTTGTCCGAGGTCATTCTGCTAATAAGTAGCAGATCCACATGGAAGGAGACTTTCCGGCTCCCACAGTGCAATCAAAGGCGGGCACTGCAGGGCTCGCGGGTGGGGGAACATTCCGTGCAAAGAAAGGCCAGACTTCATTGTCTCCATCCCCGTGCCCAGGGTTCCCGCTCCCACTGGGATTCCTCATCATTACCTCTCGACCCACTAGGCTGGCTTTAAGGGAGTTGTCACCCCATGGAAGACACTGTCAGTGTCTTCAGTAAAAATCCTCCTGTATTAGCTGTAGAGGGCAGGTGCAGGGAAGGCCCAGCCATCCTTCATTTGTGGTAGTCCCCCCTCCATTTCTAACCTCAAACAATCAGTGGAGGCCCTTCCTCCTGAATGTTATCTCTAGTCCGTCTGATCCTAGAGCCCAGGATCCTTCCTTTACACCAGGCTGAAGGGAACCCACTGGGGCAACCCTCTGATGGACCGTTCAAGCACTTTTGCCTGGAAGGTAATTACGGAAGTTAAAGGGGGGAGCCGGCAGAGAATGATGGGTTTTCAGTAGTTGATGTCTCATTCTTTGTTAAATAAATAAATGGCCAAATGCAGCTTGATTCAACCTTTCCATCCAGATAGAAAGTGGACTGACACCTGGACCCTACTCTCCAGGCCATGGGGCAGCTCTTCACTCATTTTGACATTGTAATTTTCATTTTTATGTCAAGGCAGCTACTTTTAGAACCTGAAAAGGAGAGAAAAAGGTTGTGATTTTTTTTGAGCAGCACCTGCTTTCTACCATAGCTCGCGGTGGTCGTTTCCATCAGAACATACAGAGTGGGGCAAACGTAGGTTTGCAGTTTGCTCATATGGAAAATAACACAGTCATTAATAAATAATAGTGCAAGAATAAGCTCTGTGTTTCGCGTACTCACAACTATAAACCGACTTTTGCCCCACCCTGTGTTGTCCTGTTTTCTGTCTTTCGCGGTAAGTGTTCTGTGCCAAGAAAGTAACGTTTTCCAAGGAGATCCATTGTCGAGGATGTTTTCTAAGGACGCAGCCCCTGTGACACTGTGGCATGTGTTTATCTTTTGACTTTGTGTTGTATGGAAGGTAATCCGTAGAAGCACATGGCCCTTCCTGTGCTGCAGGAGGGAAGGAAGGAAGGAAGGAAGGAAGGAAGGAAGGAAGGAAGGAAGGAAGGAAGGAAGGAAGGAAGGAAGGAAGGAAGGAAGGAATCTCTTCGATTAGGAAATTCATTCTAGTGTCTAGCTACTTTAAGAACTTGAAAAATTGAGAAAGCTCTTTTTTCCCCTTTTCTTTCTAGGGACTTGAAAAGGGAAACAAAGAACAACTATAAAATGTCCCCGTCTCATGGCCCTGCCCCATCCTCAGGGAAATGAGCATATGGAAGGCTGCGGGACATCCTAGCAAAAGACACAAAAGGCTCCTGACTCTTGGAAGCAGCGCTGCCCCTCACTCCCCCCATGACAGGGAGAGCGCCTCCCGCCAGCACCCCGATGTTTCCTGGACTATTCAAAGGCAGCAGTGCAGGCTCCTGGACTGGAGAAGCCTGACCAGCAGTGTGCCCAGGTAAGTGACGCTCTGACTTTCATTTCTAAGAAACATGAGTAAGAAAGGAGCGAAGCACTGTGGCTGGTGAAGGGGCCCCCGCCCCAGGCGGTGGTGCCTGTCTGCGAGCGGAAGTCACGCTGGGAGCCCCTGCCAGCCCCGGTTGAAGGATTTCTCCAGTTGGGCCACCTCGCGTCTCCCCAGATCAAGCAGATTCCTTCTGTAAAAACAAATTGGTGCCTGCGTCTTAACAAACGAAACCTTTGAGGGGGGAAAATGCAATATTAAAAAAAGAAGAAAATTATATGTGTGTTTTCTCCTGACACAGTTTTAAAAGCTGTTTACAGCTGATTTACAATGCTCATAGCATTCAGCTTTTCATTTGAAATTCCGATAAGTCCTTTGAATGGGTTGGAGCTCCGTAGTAAAGGGAATGAAACGTCTTCGTTGAATTGTGAGGTTTCACCGGCTCCTTCACAGGTGTCCTCGGTCTCTCTCTTCAGAGCCCCCTTTATTTCCTTGGAATGTGGTTGAGTTGACGTTGGCAACAAAGGCAAACATGGAGCAGGGGGAATGCACAGACCGTCACGTGTGCGCCATTTATGTAGCCACCTGGATCTGTATTTTCTACTCACTAGTTTGTATGTTCCTTTGATGCACGAATGAATGGGAAGAATTATCGTTTTCATTCTCCTAAGAAATTCTCTCCTAAAAATACAAGTGCCAAGTTGTCTGGGAAGTGTTTGGACCTCTCGGATCAGAGGTGCTATTTTTATGGACTGGTCCCCAAAGCAAATGTTAGCTGATGTGAAAGCCAGGCCATGAGGATCTTGTTTCCTACCAAAAGGCTATGCTCTAATTTTATGAGCTGCCCCATCTGTGATGGGCACCAAACAATGCCATAATGGTGTAAAAAAGACAGGTCGGGATTTGTCATGATAAGCGTCCATTTGTAAGTCATTTAAAAAAAAAAAAAAAGTAGCGTGTTCTTGGCATAAAAGGTCTAATTATCATTTGGTTTGGCATAAAAGGTCTAAGTATCGTTTGGTCTGACCTTGCTTGGCAAAGATAAATCAAGGTCCAGGTTAGTTTTCTACAGCAGTTTTGTTGTTGTTGTTCTGTTTTGTTTTTTACTGCCTTATGCTCTAATATCCTAGCTCCTCCAACACTGCTATCATCAATGATAGAAAAGTCTGGAATATTTGCATAAATTTATAGAAGATTTGTGACTGAAGGGATAGGGTGTTACCTATGCAAACCAGCTACATCTTTTGCCCTGTGTCTGTCACTTCTTGCTCCCCTTTCTTAGCCACCGCCTGCCACCACCACCCCTTTTGGTGGAGGGAGCGACATTCCTTGGTCAGGGGAATAGTGACTGCTAGGCTGATGGTGGGTTGAGGACTGGACGGGAAGTGAAGGAGCTGAGATATGTGGAAATTGCTCTATTGAGAAACTTGGCTGTGCCAGTGAGGAGAAGAGTAATTGGCAACTAACCCGAGTAAAATTTCTGGGGGAACTGCTGAATTTGTTAGGCCTAATGGTCCCATTACTGTTTTCAGGAATTCAAAGGACACGTATGAAATCCTCACGAGGTATGTATTCCCTTTGGATTGCTGTCAGGTTCAAAATTCCTACTAGTTTTATGAAGTCTGCTGAGTTGGCTTCAAAGAACTCCGCATCTTCACAGCATCTGTAAAATAATTTCTGGTTGAAGAAGGATTTTTCTCTCTAGAATAAAAGTAACAGATACCTGAGCCAGCGGCAGAGGCGCGGGCCCATCGTACAGTCTCTCAGGATGGTTCAGGTTCCCGCCGCCGTCCCACAAACCACCCCAAACGCAGCGGCCTGAGACAGCGATTCGGTTTCGCTCGCCGACTGTGGGTCAGGAAACCTGGGCGGGCGCGATGGGGACGCGTCGCCTCTGCTCCGGGGCGCGGAGGGCTCAGTCCCGGGGAGCTGAGACTAGGTTCCTGGGCCTGCTGGGCCCAGCCGCTGCCTCCTCGGGACAGCGTTTCCTGAAGCCGTGGGACCCTGTTTCACCGCCTCGGATTTCCTGCGCGCCTTAGACTTTTTAGCGTCTTTCTGCCAGCCAGAAGAGTTCATTATGTTTTTAATGGGATTAAACAATTAAACTAAAATGGTGATTTTTATATACAGACGTTGATGAAAGATGTGTTTTTAAAGTGGTAAATTAAAATCTCATTAATATTTCAATGAGAATATTTTGTTCTCTGTTTCATCTCTATTTTTGACCTATGGCTCAGAGTTCACAGCATGAAGGAGATGGCGAAGTCTGTTCACCATAAAATGTTAATTATAAGTAAATTACAGCACAAACGTTCAATCAGCCACATTAATTCTACATAAAGTGAATTATTGTAGCAGAAAATTTTGAAATGTGACTGAATTTTATAATCTTCAGTTTCCTTTTCCCACCACTCACACCAACCTGAGTCCCGCGTGTTCATCCCCAAGCTCTTTGTGTGGCGCTGCGCTTGCTCTGCTCGCGTGTTTGGGAAGTTAAATACAGTGTGCACGCCCCGTCTCTCCAGATGCGTCTCAATTGTACATACTTCTGTCTGCCCCATGGCAACTTAAATGAAAGCTTTGATTTTTTTCAAGCAGGTAGTTGGGCTTTTAAAATGAAGGTGTTGGGTTTGTCCTATGAAACAGTTCTCTTCTACGATATAAAATGTCCTTCCATATAGGATATAGACTAGTGTTATAATTGTCATTTTATTTATTACAATTCATATAGAAAATGCTTAAAATATCCAGACTGCATGTGGCTTATTCTGTCAACTAAGTTAATTGTTCATTAATAGCAAAAATACTGGTGCTTCCTTGAAGAAGGGTGCCTCTGTACATGCATTTTGTAATTAGATGCAGGACACTGCTTATTATTAATAAGGCTATTCAGTGCAGCGACTAGATGCTGTTAGGTTCTAGACACAAGAGAACCCACAGAATTTGCAAAGTGCTGGGTTGGGGGGAACTTTTTATTGCTTGCTGCAACTGAATTCAAGTAACAAGTAGTCTAAAGGGGCTCTCAACTCCTAGTTGGCCCTCTGGTCTAAAGTATTTTGTGACGGTTCCGGTCTGTCTCCTTCCACTTATCAAGGTCTCGTGTATCCCTGGTGGATCTAAAATGTTTATGTTGGAAGTTGGGGTCACACTGTGGAGGATTCCCACGTCAGGTCCCCAAGTTAGAAGCTGCGAACGCTCTCCTGGTTTCATCTCACCCGCGGTGCCAATATTATTGCTCAGGCATCTATTCTGCATCTCATGAGAACCCTGTTACTTAGTGGAACACGAAGCATACCCCGTGCGTTGCTGCCTGCCAATGTCTGGCTCTTCTGTATCAAGGACCAGTGTTCCCATTAGCTGACGGGAAAGTCTTTGCTTTGTTCCCTCAGATAAGCCGTTCGATTTAATACTCATGAAGCTCAACAGAAGGCCAAAGTAGCCAAGAAAAAGAGAAACACTTTATAGACTGTATTAATGAGGAAGATGCACAAATGGGAATCATAGCACTATGGAGAAAGACTCCCACTGTAAGAGGGGTAGGAGAAAGAATTTTCAATTTGCTAATGGCAGAAGCTGTTAATCTGCAAATGTATGCAGTCGTTGGTGAGTCCCTCTCAGACATACTCAGAAAACTTTGAGGATTAAAATATCAGAGAGAGCCAGAATTAGGGATCTGGCACCATTAAGAGAAAAGGAGCATCAGCTTCCTAAGAGGCTAGATCTTCTAGAATAAGCCATGTAGTAAAGTTAAGTGACAGCTACTTTCATTTGAAAACATAGGCAAAAATGTTTTGTTTTTTTTAAAAAAAAAGATGATGTGGTGCCTCTATTATAATTTCTTTCCCCTTTCTTTATGCCTCAAGTTTCCATTCTGGCCTCTTGGCATCTTCCACCCTCTACTTTTCTATTATGTTGAAAAACAAATATATTCACAACAAGATGCGTGAAGCCTATATTTTTCCTTTTATAGAATGACTATTGTTTTTACAAAAATTATACATGTTAAGTTTATAAAATTAAGAACAAGCAAAGTACAAAAATGAAAGCAGAATTTCACTAAATATTTCACCAGTCATCTTTCAGATTTGGTGACTATGCCCCCAGGCGTTTGTTTACTCTGTGTGTGTGTGTGTGTGTGTATGAAGAGAGAAGGGAGACAGTCAGAGACAAAGAGAATGAAAAGCTTAAAGAGACAGAAAAGCAGAGATTTAAAGAAAGGGATTATGTATGACAAAGATAAGAAGTAGTAAATGTAATGTTACTTGGCCTCGTTATATGAAAATTTAACAGAAAAAAAATTATATAGGTGAAGCTGAGGAATTTCTGATCCTTAGAAAATAATATTTTTATTAGAATATAGTTCTTAAAAGATCTATGTCTGATTAAGGGAAAGATTAGGAAAAAACTTTGTTTAGGTCCAATTCCCTTTTTTAACTTTATGTTTCTGTATTATATTGTATTTTTTGATTCCCTGCTTAAAATATGAGAAAATGAACACACAGCTACCCAATTTCCTTCCCCTACCTCCTGATATTTATTGCTTTACTTTGTCATAGTTTGTAACACTTGTCATCTTGTTCTGAAGTCATGAATACTGCATTTATTTTGTCATATTTTTATACTTCTATATTTGAATAACAATTCAGTGCTCCACTCATGTTTTTGGACCAGTGTTCCCCATGCTTGTGTTTTTAAGTTTTAATTGACCTTTTAGTCGAATAAGTCTTATGTTAAGGTAGACTTATAAAAGGTTCTTAGGCGTCTTCGTCTATGTTCTTGCATGCTTGAGGATGTATGTTCCTCAAGGTACAGTGTGAAGGCACAAAAAATAAAATAAAAATAATCAAGGAAAAATGGATAATTGAAAGGACACTTTAGCTGGCTATAAAATTTTGAGGTTATACTTTTTTCTCTCAGAAGTTTATAGACCTTTGTTCATTGTCCCCTGGCACTGAGTACTGTCCTTTAACCACAAAGTTGTCATTCGTATTTTG